TCAGACCATTGGCTGTGCCAGCCGAGTCCCCGTCCCCTCCCCGCCCTGCCTGCCGCAGCCCCAGACCCTAAGCCACTCCCTCCTGCCCTGGCCCCCTTATAATAGGCCACAGGCCCGCCTCACAAGCTATGCCAAGGGCTACGGACCCTGCCCCGCCCCACGCCCCCTTCTCCAACCCAGCCCAGAGTCCCCTGCCGGCCTTTCTGGGTCGGGGGAGGGGACTGAAAACCAACCCGGGTTGGGAAGCAATGTCCAGACCCCCTTACCTGACCATCCTCTTTACCACCGGCCTGGGGGGCAGTGGGCCGCTGAAGTCCAGGGAGGTGACAGCCTGTGATCTAGGCTCACTAGGGCAAGATGGAAGGGGAGAAGGGTCTGCAGAGGCGAGACCAGGATTAGATGGTCCAGTGAGGACAGAGTGCCCTGGGCAAAGATGCAGTGGGCTGTGCCAATTGGAAGTTTCAGACTCCCGGCCAGGATTCATCCTGAGTTCTACGCAAGAGCCTGGGGATGGAGATACAGCATCAGGGCATAGGACCCCACCGTCCCTGCCCTGGCACTGGGGCTGCTATAGACCCAGAGAAGCCTGCAGAGTTGAGGTACTGGGGGCTGGAGGAGGCTGCAGGAAGCCTAGGCTGGGACCTTTGGGGTGAGCTGTGCCCAGGCTAGTGCAGGAAGAGGGTTCCAGACAGGGAGTAGAGTGCTGTGGGCACAGAGGGTGCATTTAGGAGCTGGAACTGAAAGTCAGCTGGCTGGGGTGGACCTTGCAGAGGGGCTTCAGCAGGGCCTGCTTCAGTCAGGGGCAGCAGAGGCAGCTGAGGGCCAGGGGGGCACTGCCTGGCCCAGACTACGAGCTGGGAAGTAGAAGGATCTTGGACAATCCAAAAGCTGGGAGGATCACTGGGATCACTTGGGGGCCATGAAGAGGGGCACATTGGTGAGGGGCAGAAGGGCAGGGCTCCAGGTAGCCTGAACTGGAACGGACCCGAGGGGACAGCCACCACAGGTGCTAACTCAGCCCTAACTGTACCCCTAACCCTGGCAAAGCACTGTTGAAGCCACACTGATGGACACACACTTCCCTTTCCTGGAGCAGGACATGGGGTAAGGGCAGCCTATGGGTAGTAGGAGCATCGCAGAGGTTAGGCTGCAGCAGCAAAGGCCCACAACACACACAGGCGCAGGCCACAGGTCACACTGGGTGTCCCAGGACACACTGTGCACACATGCACACTCAGGCACACATGCAGAGATGTGCACACTGGGATGAAGACACGAAGGCACTCACACACAGATGCACACACTCCCAGACACACTCAGGTGAGCCAACTGGCTGAGCTGGCTGATGACTCATGCCTGGCTATTCCCGTTAGCTGGGCTGCAGTTGCCAGGCAGCCTGCCAGCAGCAGGTCAGGCACACTGGAGTAGTTGCCAGGAAGGGCCTGGCAGCCTCCTCCTGCGGTACAAGGGGCCCAACTTTCTTTCAGATGGGGACACTGGGTCTCAGCCTTCTCCCTGGTGAGTGGCCCTGGGTGTAGACAGAGAGCACTCTCAGGGATGGGTGTGTGCACCTGTGCCTGGGGTGTGTCCTGCATCCCCTGGATCTTCTAGAGTCTTAGCCAGTCCATTTACTCAGTCTTGCTTTGGGACCCATAGGCACAGGCCAGGGAGGAGTCTTGTGAAACCATTGACCTTAAGGCCCAGACCCAAGTCCGTCTACCCCCTCACTAGGTGGATGACCTTGGTGGCCCTGGGCCTTGCTGCCCAAATGAAACAGCTCTGTCAGCTTTGTGGGGAAGGAGAAGACAGAGCCCTAAGACTGCTTTCTAAGGCTCCCCCACCTCTGCTCCTCTCCAGGCTGCCTTGGCAGGAGCCAAGGAAGACAGGACTCAGTGTGGCAAGGCCCTCCGGGTGCTGCTCTGTGAGGATTCCCTCACAAAGAGCAGTGGCGACTCTCTCAAGCTGCAGTCCCTGGGTCCTCCCACACCAGCCCAGAGACAGTCCTGGAGGCAGCTACAGCATGCCCAGGATGGCCCTGCTCCCTGGCTTTGATGAAGGGTGAGGCTACTTTCTGACGTGCTGAAGCCCCTTACCTGCAGCCCCAAGATAGGAGTGGACAGGGTCCCTCTTCTCCGGCTGGGGCCCCAAGGTGGTGGTCAGTCCACCAAGGACCCTAACCCAGGTTTGCCCGCCACTGCCCTCCTGGAAACCCCCTTGGGTTGCAGACTAAGTGGGGAGTGTCCTGAGGAAGACACTTGGGGGACTACCCACAAACCTTTCCACCACAGGGGCCAGCTGCTTACCCCTAGTTCCTCCTGGAACCCAGGGGCTCTGCCTCACACAAGACATGTCTGGGAGGGCTGGTCCGCAGACCTGCCTTCACTCCCTAGACTCCAGACAGAAACTCTTCCCACTGCCAGGCCCCAGTATTGGGCTGCAACAGGCAGAAGCAGGGGGAATAGACACAACCCCATCCCCAGTCCTTCCTGGCAGCAGAAGCCTGAATATCTTCATCTCCCCACCCACTGCAGAGCCCTATGCTGACAGATTCCTGTCCTCATGGCTCAGCTCCAGCCTCCCCATGTTCCCCTCGGAGACCAGAGGTTGAGGTGTGGTTGGCCAATGCTGTGGGGCTCAGGAATCAATGTCACCCACACCCACATCCAGGGAAAAATGGACCCAACTCAGGGTCACCCCAGTGAATACAAGGCCCTGCCTCCTCCAGATATCACCTCAGGGTGCTGCTCAGCTCTGTGTCCCATACTCTTCCTCCCCAGGCTGGATGCAGGCATGGCGGTCTTGGTGAGGTGTCCATTTCATCCTGCCTGCCTGCATCCCTGGTCTCCTGCCCTCTCTTTCATTCTCCTCTCAGGGAGGCCAGGATGCCTACAGCATCAATGATTGATGCCTCCTGCGGCAGCTGCAGCAGCATAGCAAAAATAGCTCTGCCTTGTCCCTGCCCCACCCTGCCATGGCCTACTGAAGGGGCAAGGTGGGCATGGGGGCCTCTCCATCCTTTACCCAGGACAACAACCCCCAGCCCACAGTGACACACAGTCTCCTGCCCCCCGCCCCAGCTGAGTGCTATTTCAGGCCTGAGCTATTTCAGGTCACTCCTCTGCACCTCATGGCACAGCACATGGCTGGGCTCCGGAAACTGGGAAGCAAGGGATACACTGGGGAGCTGTATTCTTTTGCCCCTATGCCTAGGCCACCCCTCTGGCAGTGGGCTCAGCATGCTCCACAGCTGGTCCTGCTGCTCAGACATCACAGGCTGACAGAGGTAAGGGGCTGGGGTCCCAGGATCCTGGAGAAGCAGGACACCTGGGGACTCCGAGAGTGTGAGGATGACCTCAGGCTCTGCAGAGCACCATTGCGTTGCCATGCCAGGGAATGCAGGTCATCCCAATCAGGGCCCGTGGGCCTAGATCTGGATCCTACCACCACTGCTCAGCTCCTGGGTCACATCCTCCTACACCATCCTGAGGGGCAGGGTGCTTCTCACTCTCCACTCAAGCTGAGGGCCAGACAGGGCCGGGGCGTGGGCCTGGGGAGTTGTGACAGCTGGGAAAGCTACTCTAGCCCCATTCCCTGTCTCTGCTGTAGGCCAGGGCCTCAGTCTCCCTACCCCATTCACGAGGATGTTTCACTCCCCAGGTATCGAGGACGTTGAGAACAGTGATGGACAGACAGCAGGACCCGCTGGCTGATGCTGTCCTGGTCATGGTGAGGTAAGCTGAAGCTTATTGCAAAATCAGACAGCTGCAGGGCCACTGCGGGTTCCAGCTATAGCCAAGACCTAGTCCTGAGCGGTCTGATGGCTCGGCCCCCGTAGGTGCTGCCAGGCCTGTCTGTCACTCAGGAAGTGGGGATGAAGGGCAGCAACGGTCCAGGACGCAGAGAATGATCTCATCTTGTCAGTTTAAAATCAAATGTTTCAGTAGCTTGGCAGCAGACATGCAGGACTCGGTAATTCACTCAAGGACAGGGCTCAAGATGCAAAGAGTGGGAGGAATGGGAGCCTGGAGGTGGGCTGGGCATGGATGAGGGCTGGAACTGGGGCCTGGTCCTCCCTTCCCCCAGAAGTCAGGGCGTGGATGCAATGGAGGGGAAGTCAGTTCAGGCTGACTGCAGGAGACTGGGAGTGCGGACCTGCGAGGGGTGTGCCTGAGGTGGGGGTGTCTGCGGGCAGAAGGGCAGGGCTAGCTCATCAGGGTCCTTACCCTGAGGCTAATGGTATAGAAGGGGCAGGCTTGGTGGCCCAGACAGGTCTGCTCTGCCTTGAACTGGCTACTGAAGAGGCCGAGACCACCAACAGCCCGAAGAACAACCCCCCCCCCTTCCCCGCCGCAAGCGCTCCTGCTCTTCTGGCTCTGGACTCTCAGCCTCCTGCAAGTTAGAGCGACTGGTGATCAGGGTCGACTCAGGATCCAGGTATCGGCGAGCCAGACTTGGGCCCAGGTCCTCAGAGAGCCCCATCCCGTGGGCAGACCTCCCGCTGCAGTGGAGTACCAAGCAGTCCGGGGCCGGGCGGGGCGGAGAAGGCGCCAGCCACGGCTCAGCCCCCGGAAGCTGGGCGCTCTAAGTACGGAGGCTCCGGCTGGCAGAGAAGCCAAGCC